AGGGTATGCTGTGCCAGTTTAGCTCCCTGGCTGGGGATTAAACTCAGGCTGCTGTGGTGATAGTAATTAACCCCTAGGCCACCAGGGAGGTTCCCATTTTCCTGACCCTTTAACTCTTTGCCCCAAGGCAAGCTCATATTCATCCTTCAAAATCTAACTCAAAGGTACATTCTACTAGGAAGTCTTCCTTGAATTCCATTTTTTATTTCATTTTTTCTCCTACCCGCTGTCCTCATCCTTATCTCCCTGTTACAATGTCTCTGATTATGTTTTTCTTTGCATTAAAAGAGATTCTCAACTATAGGAAAGATAGACATTTCTCAGAAAGCAGGCATTCCTGGGTGCCTGGTGAAATGAAAATAATACATGCAGTGTTCTCAGAGGGAGGGACAAATATTTATCTCTCCCATAAGAGATTTTGGAGAGCTGGCTAGAGGAACTATTTTTTTTAAATGTTTACTTATTTAATCATACAAAAACTGGGGTATAGGCAAGAGGTGAGGGGGGTTGAGAGGATTCACCAGAGACAGAGTGGGGAGCATAACAGGCAGATCTACTGAAATACACTGCTGAAGGAAGCAGTGAGTGGGACAGGAAATGGCTGCTATGCCATGTAGGTCACCTCCCTTACCGGGCATTGAACTTGTGCTGCAGTGGCTACAGATAGCTTCTTAGTGCTGTACTTTAACCTGTTGCACCACCAGGGAGGGCCCTGAAGGGAGTATTTTTTGGCTGATAATATTCCCTGGAGTTGCATCCCACATATTCAAATTACTCAATTTAATTATATGGCTTTGGCAAAATAAAAAAAGATAGAAAAATGACTTCTCCCAATGATAACATGATTATGAATTTCAAAAAAATACTGCATTAAAACAAAATGTCCTAGAGTAAGATTAGTAACTCAAGTTGCCTCTTAATTTTCATGTAAGAAAAAAACCACCTTTTATTAATATGTGTAGAAGTTTTCTATTGCTGGGCAATAAACCTCCACAAATGTATAGGTTCAAGACAAGACCCCTTTATTAGTTCACAGATCTATAAGTCAGAAGTCCAGACACAGCTCATTTGTGTTCTTTGCTCAGGGGGGGCTCAGTAGCTGACATCAAAGTGCTGTTCACTTGTGTCCTCATCTGGATATTCATCAAGGGCAAGATTGACTTCCAAGTTCCCTGTGTTGTCAGAAATTATTTTCTTGTGACTATACATAAGATCCCATTTTCTTGCTATTGAGCCCACTCACTCTCAGTTTCTGGAGGTCCCTCTTGGATCTTTGCCATGTGGTCAACTCCACAATACGTGTACATATTTCACAGATAATCAGCTTTGTCCTTTATTTGAGGGGGAAAGCAGGCAGGGGGAGAGTTGAGTAAGTTCTCTCAGTGGGTTCATTACTTTGAGTGTATGCAAGGTCCCATGAAGGACACACCCGTGCTGAAGTAGGGTACCCCAAGACTTGGGTGGGCTTCCAGGGCTTGACAAGGGCAAAGTCTTGACCTCCAATTCTGGAATACTGTCATATTGGGCAGGTGCTTACATTTGTACAGATTACATGGATGTGGGAATGTTAACCTGTGGGTGTAAGCTCATGCCACATGTGTGTATGTCATGTATGCACACTGGTGCTCACATGTATGCATTTTTGTACACAAGAGTGGTGCTCTGTGTCTGAATGGAAATGAGACTGTAGGATTCACCCCAGCATAGACCCACTGCCTCTTCTCACAGTCTTCAGGCCAGCCAGGTTCCTATTATATGAAGCCTACTCATCAGGGTCAGGGTCAGTAGAAGATTTTGTTTTTCCAAGCAAGCACCTTGACCTCCCTGCGCCTGTTTCCTCATCTATAATATGAAGATCTTGGATGACTTAGATCTGAGGTCTCCTCTAGCCCTGATAACAGGGATAGTGGAGAGGGGTGGTGCCCAGATGTTTCAGGAGAGGACCGCACTGAACTTCAGCCCTCCACTTCCATGGGTACCCCTCGCACTTCATTAAGAGTAGAAGACTGGCCCTCCCTGGTGGTGCAGCTGGTTAAAGCACAACATTAAGAAGCTAAAGCCACTTTAGTACGAGTTTGATCCCCACCCCAGAGGTGATCCATATGGTGCGGCAGACCTCTCCTGTCTCGCCCGCTGCTCCCCTCAGCAGTATACTTTGTCAGTTGGCCTATTCTGCTCCCCACTCTGTCTCTGGTGAATCCTCTCACCACTTTTGCACCCCTGGCCTGTACCCCATTTCTGTATGCATAAATAAATCTAAAAAAAAAGAAAAGAGTACAAGACTGGGGCCTCCTTGGTAGTGCAATGGGATAAGTCTCAGCACTATGAAACCATTGGCAGCCACTGCAGCACAAGTTCCATCCCCAACCAGGGAGCTGACCCACATGGCTCAGCAGACCTCTCTGTCTCACCTGCTGCTCCCCTCAGCAGTGTATTTCAGTCAATTCTGATTATTCTGCTCCCTACTCTGTCACTGGTGAATCCTTTAACCCCTGTCCCTGGCACCTCTGGCCTGCATCCCAGTTCTTATATGCATAGATAGATAAAATAAATCTTTAAAAAATAAAAGAGAGGAAAAGACTGGGATCTGACCTAGCAGCCTGTACATGGGGGTAATCAGGCTAGGAAAATAACTCAGGTCTTGTAGGGCACCAAAGAGCACACTTTTCTGGGCCTGGGGAACTTCCTGTGCCAGGATAGAGGGTTCAGGTGTGGATTTAAACCAGCTACCCTTTTTGAGATGTAACTGCTGAGCTTCGACAGTGGACTGCCTAAAGTCAACACTGTGTCAGGCCCAGCAAAGGCTGGTTGGAGGAATAGATGAAGAAAGATTCTGCGTTTGGATGCCACTAGGGAACACACACACACACACACACACACACACACACAATTAGTTGTCATTTATTGAACAAATAAATGATTGTCCATTAAGGTAGCTTGGTACACATGAGTAGGAATAAGACAAACTACCTAGAGAAAGGTGAATAGAATATTGACCACAAGAAAGATTCAAATTCAAAAAGGCCTGAAGAAGGCATCCCAGGCAGGGGAAAGAGCTTGAGCAAAAGTGTGGATATGGGAGAATGTCAACTAGAAAATGAGGAGTTTGACCTTGGCACAAAATGCACATAAAAGATGAAGTTGGGGAGGCTTGGGGCTGGATCATGGAGGGCCATGAATGTTGTGTTAAGAAATAAGTTAGTTTGGGAGTCATAGCAGGTCTTAGAGCAGGCAAGTGGTGTGACAAGAAAGGCATGTTAAGGATTATTTAAAGTCAGCAAGAAGATTAAGAGGATAGAGGTTAGCAGGATGTAGATGCGATGTGCAGAGGCTCAGGGTTGCTTGGAATGAGGACATGTTAGAGGCATCACTCCAGGGCCAAAACACTCTTCTCCTCCCCACTATTCTCTTCAAGCCTCTGAGTATTATTTCCTGGCTCCTTCTCCTAGTTGCTAAGGCTGAGTTGTCTCTCTGGGGTTTCAGGCTAGACTGGGGAGGATTTAGTAACCAGAGCATGAAATTGTGACCTAGCTCACTCCGCTGCCTCCTGTTGGAGCAGATGGGCGCCTCTTAGACTCTCTCCCACTAACCCTGCTCCACTGAGGGAGGATACAGAACCTCTGACCCTGGAGATTCTAAGGAGTGTACTTGTGGATTCTCCCAGTCATTTCCCAGTCAGTCCACTGGGAGGGCTTTGTCTAGAGCATAGAATTGATAGGCAGAATCCAGAGGGTACCCAACAAGAATTTTACTATGGCAGTTTTATAGGGAAGCTGCGATTTGTTAAATTTGACAGATAAAGGAAATTGAGGCCCAGAGAGGACCATGATTTGCTTGAGGTCACACAGCAAATTTGGGACAGTTAGGACTAAGCAAAGACCTCCTTGGGAAGGCTGAAGCACCCCAGATTTAGATAATTTGGTGCTAATAGGGTACAGAAGATTGGGTCAAGAATTCTGGGTTCAAATTCTGGTTCTGTCATTTATTATAACTTTGTGAACTTGGAAGTCACTTAGCCTATCTGAGTCTGTTCTCATCCGTCAAATAGGAAAACCACCACATTTTGGGTTTGCTGTGATGACCAAAACACACATAAAGTGCTTTAGTCCAGTGTTTGTCACTCAGTAAGTGTTCAATAAATGTCAGCTAGTGGACTGGCAACAGCAGGAGTAGGTACTCAGTGTTCACTGAGTGCATTATTAAACACATTAACAGTGAGCCTGTTTGTAATCATACCATTTGTGAGACTGTTTCCCAGTGTGTAAATTAGTAGTAATAGTCAATCCCTGTCCTGACACTTTTCTGTCCAATTCAGGCAGCAACCTGTATTAATATGTAAAGACTCCAGTATAGAGCTGTCTCTAGGTCAATGTTTATTCAGCTTAGAGCAACTGATCTCCAAGTCCTATTCTGAAAAAATTGCCCAACAGCCTAACCATTTACATTCCCTGATGCCTCACCCCCTCAACCAGGAAACCGGGATATCCCCCACCTCTCAGGTTTGACGAGCTGAGCAAATGGGAGTTGGGGAAGCAAAGTAAGTAGGCGTGGGGTGAAAACAGAACCAGGAGAAGGGTGAAGGGGGAGAATGGAAGGGAAAGGACGTCGTGGGAAGTTTGAAAAAAGGGTATAGATTGGGGGGGAGGTTGGATGCAAGATGCAGGTAAAAGGCTGTGTGTGAGGGGGAGCTGTGTGTGAGGGGGGTTGTGGGAGGGGTGCGGGCGCTAGGATGTGTGGAGGGAATGTAGGAAGATGGGGTTGTGTAGGAAAGAATGGGAGCTTCCTGGGCAAGAAGGTCTAAGCTCCCAGCAATCGCCTCTCCAGCAGGCTCCAGAAGCTCAGAGTCCGGCTCCCAGGCAGGAGCCACCAGCCAGCGAACCGCGGAGGGAGCGAGGAGGGGGGATCCGCAGGCTGGGATTGGTCGCGGAGCAGCCGGCTGCTGACGCGACGCGGGCGGGCCCCTTTGTGACGTCACAATCAGCTGTTGGAACGTTCTAATTTGTGCCGTGAGCCCAGCAGCAGCGGCTGCACAGTCTCAAAGCCTCGCGGGCGAGCGCAGCAGCCCGGAGCGCCGGACCCGAATCCCCGCCGCCTCACAGCAAAGTCCCCGCGATGCGGCCCGGCCTGTGATCAGCTGCAGAGCCGAGGACTCTCGCAGCACAGCTACCTCAGAGCCACCGCCGCCCGCCGTCCCGCCTCCGCCCCGAGGTGAGTCCAGACCTTCGGACAAGGGTTCCCCGCGCCCCGGGGCAAGTCCCGCGTCCCCTGCTCCCGGGTCTTTGTTTGTCTCCGCCGGCGGCCGCCGGGGCTGAGTTCCAGTCTCCGGATTGGCTGCCGCACAGGGTAGACCCTGACGTTTCCCTATTTGCATATGACATTGAGACGTCACCAAGGCCGGCAACGCCCCCCACCCCCGCCCCGTTTGGGTCGCTTGTCCTCTGGTGACCCAGTGGGCGCTGCGTCGGGGATGGGCCCGCGGGCGAGGGACTCCGAAAGGCCGAGGTCTGAAAGGGCCTCGGCAGTTTCCTGGGTTAATACAAGGGCTGGGGTCAGGCCTCTGATCCCCTACTTTCTGTTGGCGATTTGAGAGGAGACCGCGCAGTTTGGTGTTTAGATTTGGTGGGGGGGGGGGGTCACCAGGTGTCACTTACTATATATAAAAGTTGGAAGTCACAGAACTTTTCCAGGACACATTCCTTCACCTCATGGAATTAGGGGGGGGGGGTCACCAGGAGTTCTGAGGCGAACTGGAACTCCAGCTCCAGGGCGCTGGGGCAGTGCCAGATGGTGGCTGAACCCCTCCCTCCTGCTGCATCTTCTGAACAGATCCCCCCCCCACCCCTCCCCCTCGGCCTAATATAATAACATCCTCCTAATCCCAGACAAGTGTGCAGAGCCTTACCAGACGTATCCAGTCCCCAAAACAGAACTTAGAAGAATAGATAATAAAATAATGGCTAGTGTGACTTCATATGAGATGGTTTGTGCAACTGCTCTTAGAGCTCTTATTAATTCATATTTTGAGTTGGATCTTGGATCCCATTTCAGGAAAGGGGAAACAAGACCACAGAGGGGAAGTGGCTTATGGAGGTCATGCTGCCAATTAGACTCATACATTTTCATGGGCAAAAACCTAGTAGGAGCACAATGTAAGTTGTAAACTTCCTTCCACTGAGGACTTCCCTTGGGCTCAGCACCATTCAAATTTGATAGGACTCCTAGACATCTTCATTCCTGGATCTTTTTCCAGGAGGTCTCTGGAGTCTGGGTCCTCTTTTGTGGTTCTGACCCTTACTCTGTACCTTGGAGTCCCAGATCCCAATAAATTTGCTGCCTTCCAGCTGTTTTGACCACAGAAAGGTGAGTCATTAGCTGCACCTGGGTGTCTCCAGGGTTGATGTTAGGGTGTGGTGGGGGGCTGAGAGTTCCCTGTATTTGTCCTTTAGCAGCACCCCAACCCCAGAATTGTCAGCTAAGAAGGACATAACCTGGTTAGTGCTGATGATGACAAGGCTTGTACTGCCTGTCTCAGGGCTCACAGAGAGGGGCAAGAGACGGGGTAGGAGGAGAGCTTTTGACTTTCCAAGTGGCAGTGCTCTTTGCTCAAGGATAGACTGGAGTAGAAGTGGCTTGGGGATCAATATAAAAATATTCTAGACACAGCTGCTGTCATTATTAAAGCGAATAGTTCTCCCCAGAGCAGAGCTGGGAATGTGAGAACCAGGAAGCTGGCAGGGCTGGGAAAGAAAATCTGGGAGGCTCCGCAGTGGTCAGGAGAGGGGGCGGGCACTGGCTGGCTGGTGCTGTTGTCACTCCTGGCTCTGCCACTAACTTGCTGTGTGACTTTGGATAGGGAGTTTACCCGCCCTGAACTCACTCCCTCAATCTGTTTGTAATTTGATGAGGGCCAGAGTAGACTGGTACAGAGTGGGTGCTCTGGATAATACATGATGAATCTTGGTGCCAGGAATCCCAGGACCTTTTATATCTTTGCAGAGGGGCTTTGCAGAGGAAGACAGCGAGTCCATCAAGGACCCTGTATGACCTCTTGACCTTCCCTGCATTAGTATCTTATTCTTGGAGATTGTTTACTGAAGCTTTCCTAACTGTACACACTGGACTGATATTTAGTGACCTGGGGCTAGCCTGACCTACTACCATCTAGACAGGAGGCTTTTGACATATGTCCTCTGATTCTCTGATTGTAAATGGGCTGGGCAGAATATGATGGTTCCTGAGATAACTCTTAACTTCCCTTTCATCTTCTAAGGAGGTAGTAAGTTCTTAGAAAGAGGGTGTGTCTCCTGACCTCCCCTTCCTCTCGAAGGACCAAACTTTCTGGATTTTTGATAACTGAGTCACTAGCAGTTTGTGGATACAGAAATACTGGCAAATGTGACTTGTGTTGGACAGGCACAAGTTGGCACCTTTCATAATCCCTGTAGAAACAGCGGCCAACGGCAATTCCTTCTGGAGCATACTGTAGAACTGTAAAATGTGGAAATGCACTCAGGGAATAAAGGTTAGATGATTCTGTGACAAGTATAAAAACATTCCCAGGGAATGAGAAAAGTAGCAACTAGCACAGAAATATCCCAGGTGGGTTAGCAGCAAGAGTACAAGAATGACTATAAGGAATGGAATGTGGACATGACCCAAGGAATTCTATAAGAAGCATAGAAATATCCCTAGAGAAAGGTGACAAGAGGCTCAGTAGCAAAACTGTTGACCATCCTTAGGGAGCAATGTGGAGGGTCAGTGTTTAGGGGCCAGCCATCTTTAGCCCAGATCCTAGCCCTGAGGGTAGACTGGGGGTCAGAGGGGCAAATCCACAGTTACCTCCTTGGTGTCTCATGTCTCCACTCCTGGAACAAGGATTCTCCTTTCTCATCTTCACTCAGAGACAGAATAATTGAGAGCTTGTATCCTCCTGGGCCAACTCTGTGTTCATACTTAAGGGCTTCCTGGGGTCTGATAACTCCTCTCCATCATCACTTTCCATTGACCTGCTGTCTCCCCACACAGGCAATCTGATCTTCCTCCTCCTAGCCAGGGATACTGTCCTTGAGTAGGAACTTGGGAATAAGGGCCGAGGTGGGGGAGGGATTATGGGAATAGGATCTTTGCATCTCATCTGACAGACCCAATTGAGGCCTGTATAATCACATGATAAGATGGTAGTGATTCTGTGTGATTTCTTATAGCTAGGACTTTAATTATTAAAGACTCATTTTTATTTATACATATAAGAACTGGGGTCTAGGCCAGAGGTGTGTGTGGGGAGTAAGCCTGAGAGAATTCACCAGAAACAGAGTGGGGAGCAGGCCGATCTATTGAAATACACTGCTGAGGGGAGTAGTGGGCAAGACAGGAGAGGTCAGCTGTGTCATGTAGGTCATCTCCTTGCCTGGGGAGTTCGGTAGTGCTGAGACTTAACCCATTTGTACCACCAGGGAGGCCCCTGGTTCTTCATCTTTGGGGTAATGGACTACTGTTTAAGGAATCATAATGAAAGCAAGGTCCTTCTTTCCAGAAAAATACATATGGAACATGGCCACCAAGTAAAAAATGCCTAATCCATGATGATACCCACCATAGACAATGGAGTATAGTGTTTAGGTGTGCTGCCTCTGAAATCTGACTATATGGGTTCAAACACTACCTCTGTGTCTTACTGGATGTGGGACTTACATTATTTTACCTCTCCAAGCCTCTCTTTCTTTCATGTAAAGAGGAATAATTAATTATACTTACTTCCAGAGTAGTTGTGAGTTTATATGAGGTAATATAGTTAAAGTATTTAGAATAGTGCCTGGCACATAAATTCTATATTATAGTGATGATAATAAATAATCTCAGTGTTGGGCAATTTCTTCCTTGCTTGGAGAATTCCTATTTAGCTTTAAGATCCAGCCTGAAGGATGGCCAATCCTCTGGAGAATTTCCCTGAAAGAATCTGCTCATATATATCACTTCTTTCATGTCCTTAGAGACTATCATAGTATTATTATTTATAGCTAGTTTATTGAATGTCTACTCTGTGCTCAGGCACTGTTTTAAAGTGATTAGCGTATCTAATCCTTATAAGGGCCAGAAAGAGGAGGGTATTATTATCATTGTCATTTGGCAGATGAGGAAACTGAGGCACAGTTAGTTAAATAACTTCCTAAAGTCACACAAAAACTAGAAAAGCCTGAAATCTGAAAGTAGGGCCACCTTACCAGAAGACATACACAGCACAAGTTTCCTCCACATTCTGTTGTATTCTTGTCACTTCTCTGTGTACTGCAGTGCAGCCAGGCATGGAGAGGATTTCATAGTGACTATTCAGACTCTTGTCTGCCTCCAGGTTTCTGCACTGCCATAGGACACCACCTGAGGCCACTTCACTCTGCTGCCATGTTCCAGCGTCTCAGCAGTCTCTTCTTTAGCACCCCACCACCTCCTGAGGACCCAGACTGTCCCCCACCCTTCATCTCCGAAGAAGATGAAGTAGATGGGTGGCTCATCATTGATCTGCCGGGTGAGGCCTTACTGGGGGCCAGGGCTGTGATTCTTGGGCTTTTCAAATCAGGGCAAGTGGCTGAGCAGCCAGAGGGGAAGGGAGTTCCTGGGGTTGGGGAATTCTCCCATGCCTTCTGGGCAAACTGGGGCCGAGGCAGACTGAGAACTTGGAGATGGGTTAACTGGGCTCCATCCCAAGCAAACCCATCTCTTGAAGGCCCTGTGTTGGTACCACACCTCAAGTGCCCTGAGGCAACAACAGGTTGAGACTTCTGGTCCATGGGTATCCGGTGGGTGAAGCCGGCAGGGCTGCGGGTCTGACTAACGATGCCCTCTCTCTCCCCGCCCCCTGTGTCCGGTGTGTGTGTGTCCCTCCCTGCTGCGCCCCCTCCTTCGCCTGGCACCCACTTCGGCGCCCCGTAGACAGCTACGCCGTTCCACCCAGCCCGGGGGCCGCCCCAGTCCCTGCAGGCCGCCCTCCGCCCGCGCCCTCCTTGATGGACGAGAGCTGGTTTGTTACCCCTCCCGCCTGTTTTACTGCAGAGGGGTCCGGACTCGGGCCGGCCCGCCTCCAGAGCAACCCCCTGGAGGACCTCCTCATCGAGCACCCCAGCATGTCTGTTTACTTCACGGGCAGCACCATAGTGCTGGAACCTGGGCCCTCTTCTCCGCGCCCCGAAGCTACCCTGCCTGACGGCGAACTTAGTGATGGGTGAGCGGACGGTGGGCGAAGCCTGGAAGCCTAGACAGGCAGATCTAGGAGGCTAGGGTGCCGGACGGAGGGCCGGGGGAACAGAGTCGGGTAACCAGCCAGGCACTGAAGGGGTGGGGCCTTTTGGGGCGTGTCTTCTGACAATGGGCGTGGCCTACAGAAGAGCAAGAAGTGAGAGATTGAGAACAGATCCGGCCAAGGGGGCGGGGCTTATGGGCTAAGGAGGCGTGGCTTCGTTACTGGGGTGGGGCCTGGGAAAGGGGCCTGTTTGGCAATTACAGAAGCAAGGTCAGGGTAGAGTTTCTAGAAAACTATACTGAAGTCTTGGGCCGGATTGTTGGTTGGAACCTTCCTGGTGTCCTGTTTACCTGCCATAGGGGCTATAACCCAGGAGGTACAGGAATTGGGCACCCCTCTATAGCAGAGAGTACTGCGCCAGGGCGAGTCTGGGGGGCAGGGGTCTAGGAGGAAGGTTTCAACACTCCCTTCCAGCTCCCCTTCTTTCTCAGTACTTGGCCCTGACCAAACCTTGTTCTGTCCCTGCAGGGAACTGGTGCCTGCCCACCGAGAGACCCGGGCCCTGCACCATGCTGCAGCCCCTCTGCCAGCTCGGGCTGCGCTGCTGGAGAAGGCTGGCCAGGCACGGCGGCTGCAGCGGGCCAGGCAGAGGGCGGAACGCCATGCGCTGAGTGCAAAAGTGGTGCAACGGCAGAATCGAGCCCGCGAAAGCCGTCCACGCCGGCCCAAACACCAGGGCAGCTTCGTCTACCAACCGTGCCAACGCCAGTTCAACTACTGAGCGTCTGCCGGCCACGTGTAACAAACCCCTCTTCGACTCCCTATCCCTACCGAGCCCCTTCATGGCAGCCAGAGTGCTGCTCGAGGGGTACCCGAGGCCTGCTTCAGGCAGGAGCAACCTCCCTCCTTAAGTGTAGGAGTTGGGGTGACAGCCCCTTTCATACCCCCTGGATTTCCCAACCTTTGATCCACTAATCCATCTCTGAATCCCCTCTCCTCCTTCCATCTTCCTTCTGTGGCCCCCAAGCTCCATATCTAGTCCTCTCTCCCCAACCCCTGACACACCTTTCTTTCACCCCCCCGACCCCAGCCCCTGCCCTAACATTCCCCTTCATCTTTGCTCTCCAGTCCTCTACCTCTGGCCACTCTTTTCTGACAGTCTCTCCTGCCATCCCATATCTGGTTCAATCCCCACCTTTAACTCCCACCTAACTAGCCTCTCCTTAGCGCTTGGTTGGCACTAACACTCCTGCCCCCTTATTATACTCACTCCCAGTTACTCTCTCCAAATGGGTTTGGGAGGAGGGAGAGTCTCACCTTTCCTCTCCCCCTGGGGGCTAGGCTCTTTGAAGTTGCTTAGGCCTGGAAAGGTAAAGTATGTGGAAGAGGATTGTGAGATGTGAATTTGAGGAAGATGATGGGAGGGAATTGAGTTTAAATAGGCAGCCTGTTGAAGATGTACGGATATGTTGAAAAGCTGTAGGAAGCAGGGCACTAGGGGAGCTGGCACCATGCTTGCTCAGAGAGGCCAAGTCCTGCTCTCTCAGGCTGGAGCCTGGAGTCTGCCCCCAGACCCCTTTCTTATAATCCCACCACCCAGATCTCTCCTGAAATCCACCCCTCTGCAGGCCGCTGAGTCTGAAGGGCTTAGTCTTGCTACCCTATTCACAATGTTACCCCGGGAATAGAGGCTGGGCAAGTCCCTGCCATCCTGACCATCTGTTCACATGCCCAAGGTGCTAGAACTGGCTTAGGAGAGATGCTGGATAGAGGGCTTCTAGTCAGCAAAAGGGCACATCCCGGAATAAGAACACAGGATGATGCTAGGAGAAGCTGTGGGATAAAGCCATCCTAAGATTGACAGTTCAGACTTCATCTTGCATCTTTTATTTCACACCCTGCCCGGAATGGCTAACAAACACTCCTGGGTAGGAGGCCAGGAGCCTGTGTTCCTATCCCCAGATAATCCCTATCCAGGTTCAAAGCCTTCAGGGGGGCCTCTCATTTTCTCTCTTCCTTTTTAAGCTATTGGGGAGAAATGGGTACCCTTATGGTTCCCCTTTCCTTCTTCAGTTAGCACCTGGTGGAGGGAACCTGAATCCCTGGATGAGACTGGGAGGGCAGGGGCAGATAGCTTTCCCCTTCTAGTGGTGGGACTGAATTTTGGGCTCAGACACCAGCAACAGCCTCTTGGGGAATGCCCCCGAGTTGCTTTCCTTTCCCTCTTTCTAACTGTCCTTTTCTAGTGTGTGTTTTCTTCCTTGAAACTTCTAAGTTTCCTGTTACATAAAAACATAGGTCTTCCCTCTTACTCAAATTCCAGGTTTCCAGGCCTCATAGCTATTGGAGGCTTGCAGAAAACTGAAATCCTATGCCAGTAAAGGCTGCTGCCTTCCAGACCTTAGAGCTCCCATTCTTATGTGGGCTTGCAGGGAAGGGAGGAGGTAGCTCCATGGAACTAGGATGAATTCAAAGGAAGGCCCACAAGGCTCGGGCCTTCTATCCCAAGGAGGAAGCCAAATTTATACTAAAAGCAGATCATCCAAGTCCCCATGCCAGTCCACTAGGGCCCCAGTAGTGGACAACCTTGTTCTTCATCCCCAAATTTTCCTTTAGTTACAACCTCAACACCTGTATTTTTCCACCTACCCTGTGGTCACATCACAGCTAGCTTAGGGTCTTCAGCATTTCCAAGAGCTGGAACTCCCTCCAGCTCTTCCTGACTACTGCTTTGCTGCCAGCTGGGGCCTAGGCTTAGTCCTGTAGAGTACCCAAGATCCTTCTGGTGGAGGAAGAATGAGTTATAGGGCATTTGGCTGACATTTCAAAAGGACCCTCCCATATTTCTGGAGGCTACTATAGTTCCAGAGCCCTCCAATCTTATCATCTGGCTGGTTGCAAGGCTCATGTTTTTTTGTATTTTCCTATGGATTCTGTAGCATTTGCGTGTGGCAATATTTTTAATTGTGTATAGATTTTTAAGAACCAACACTACTCAGTCTCCTGCTAGTCTGACTCCTGAAGCATCAGACCTCGTCATACTGTATTGACTGTGTATGTGCCTTTCACCTTGAGCATGCTTCAGGATTTTTTTTTTTAAACCACAGAACTTGAATACACGAAGGAACCAGAATTCACAGTCCTATGCAACCTTAGAAAGGAGGGGGTTAGAGAGTCTGTCTTGCAGAGAACGTGGAAAAGTTTGTTCCAGTTGTATTAATGTCAATACCAGCACTTTGCCGACACTGTGTGTCATAGAGTCTCCTGTTTCTATCGTCCCAGTTACATCAAGGGTGACTTCCAATTATTCCCTATTGTCTGAGTGCTCTGGTGTCACTTTCCTGCCACTGTCAGTGTGGCCCTAGCAGGGCATCTTGTGTGTGTGTGTGTGAATGCAGTTTGCTGCTGTTTTGGAGTCTGCCTGCTCCCTAGCTCCCTGTCTGGAACCCTGATCACTTTGCCCTGACCCATGACATCTTAGGTGCAACAAAGACCCCGCCAGAGCTCTTGGATGCCTCCTCAGATCCATGTGGCTTTACCTAAGGGGACTAAATGCAGACATGCCATAGTCCCTTATATCTTTCCTCTTACTCTGATACCTAGTTCCAAGTGGAACAAACAAGTTGAATGCATCCCTCTGGGTGTTTTGTGTTGAGATTGCAGAAATGAGGACTCTGACCATGTTGTGACATGTTGACAGATTCAAGGACACAACCACCTCAACCCGTTCATGTGGCATGCCTGTGTACATGTGTAACAGGATTCTGATTGTTAGATTGTAATGTTATTCCTCTATGGGAAAAAAAATTAATATAAAGAAAAACAAATAAAAATCTATTTAAAGCACATGATTTCTGCCGGAATTGAGCTAAAACAAGAGAGAAACACTTTGCAATCTAAAGTACAGTATTGGCACAAGGTATTATTACACTAGTAATGCCCTATGGTTGGCTTTGGTTCTGGTAACGTGTGTCATACAGAGAAGGAAGCGGGTAGATAAGCCTGCTGGGAACAGAGCCAGACAGTGTGGAGTCTGACTCATAAATAACTACTTTTAGGAGGATCATTATAATGTAAGACACATATAAAGACCTTTGAAATAGAGATGAAAATATAAGAGTATGACAGAGAATCACCAACTCATCTTTTGGGTCTCAGGCACTAGGTTTGGCAGAAACACAGAACCACAGCAGGGAGGGACGGAATATATGTCTAGATATGCGAGGCAGCAGAAGGTTAAGGCCTACACAGAGAGGAGGACAGGGACCCAATCAATGGATTTCCCTGAAGGTAAGAGCTGCAAAAGCATCTGATTAGGAGACTACAAATTTGAAGATGAGAGAAGACAGGAAAGGGGAAAATGCAAGCATATTGATGGAAAGTTACCCCTAAGACTGATGCAGATGAGTGACAGGGCAGCCAAAAAAATGGGATGTAGTGGACATCTCTGCCAAGTTTGTAATGCAAATGACTGCTTTTATTTGGAGCTGCCCTATCTAACCGAAGAACTGAGCTGAAGATGAAAGCTGACTTCACTGGGTTAGATTCTTGATGCCGTTAGAAAGAGTCTTGGTCAGTCTGGGCTTATCTCTTGAATGGAAAAGGTGTAATAAAACAGTTATTTTAGAGCAATTCACCAAAGGTATGGAGAAGCCTAGAGGTATGGGTGGAGGAAAAGTGCCATCTGTTTGCTGATGTTTTCCTGTACCTAGAAAATCTGGGGTGATCTTCAAAACTCTGGTTATTTCTGTTATCTTGCAAAAGAAAACTGATGACCTATCAAAGTGTCTAGTAGAGTGCTAGAAAAGGGCTAATTTCTTCAGAGCCAAGAATGAGCTCAATGATTAAGTATGTGCTTTTCCCTCAATTTGCCAGCTAGGCATCCTAGGTACCATGAGGACAAGATGAGATTCTAATTTACGAAGAAAGCTATTCCTATTCACTTGCTCATCCATAATCCCTTACCAATGTTACCAATGACATACATTTGTGTTCTAGAACAATGACATTTATTTAACACATTCAGTATTTCACATTGTAGAAACCCTTAGATTCTCTTTATTCACTGGTCCATTTCTACAACAAATACATCCAAAACACTATATAATAAAAATATTTACAACATTTCCAAATGAAAAGATTCCATTTGCCCACACTACTGCTATTCACACACAGTACTTCCACAGCACGATACATCATTAGAAGATCTAAAGATGCTCTCACCCTGTACTCTAGGCTGCTTAGGAAATGTGAAAACTATTATAATAGTATTAGCCCCTCTTAATACATGGCAACATTTTAGAAACTTGAACTTCATCTTGCATCACCAAAAAGGGTTCAACTCTGCTTTCCCATTGCACTTTTCAAAACAGTTAGCAGGGACTAGGAAAAGGGCCACATTATTAAAATGACTAACTGTACAGAAATGGATTTTAAAAAGTCACAGCTCAAAATTGCTTTTTGTAAAATTCACACACATTTACAAGTATCAAGTCGCCGTCCAGCTTGTTTACTTGGATTTTCTTCGCTTGGATTGCACCGCACTGGTTATGTCTGTGGGGGAAAGGAAGGACATGTTCAGCTGAGGCAACTATTTACAGCAGTGTCTTTCAGGCAGTCTGCAAAACCAGGGATAACATAGCTGGAATCCTACTGGACTCTGTGTGTGGAGAGGCTACAGCCAGGCAACTGGGCAAATGTGATGTGGTGGTAGACGCAGCAGCAACATACCTTACTGGAAAAAGTGGCAGGGTTGGGAGAGCTGTGTTAGCTGAGCAATTAGCCCCAAAATCTCCATTAACAGTTTCCATCACTCAGTGAAATGATGAAGAGACTGTGCTTGTGGTGAGAAATCAATTGAGTAATGTTAGAGGCTGTGTTAGAGTACAAACAAAACAGCCTCTGGATCCCTTTTGGAGTCATGTCATTATTTTGCAATAAGAAACTTTTGCCATGCTACAGTCTCTACACAGGACCATGATTGACTCTTTACCGCTGGTCAACAAGACACTTCTGTGGCCCATACATGCCTGTATGTATCCACTGCATGGAAGCAATTCAGAACAAGCCTTAGCCTGAGCTGAGCCCAAATGAACTTGAAAGCATCTGGAAGAGGTAGAAACTGAGTGACTTATATGTAGGGTAACAGTGGCCTAAAGGAGAATGAATGTATTTTAACATTTTTAATTCCTCTTGTATTGTCATTATCAAATGAACTTAGTCATATTCCACATTAAACCAAAAAACTCTCACACAAAATTCTTCTACTGCAGCAGAGTACAACAAATAGATTGAAGCTGTCAAAGTAGAAACATTAAAATCTCATTGATCTTAAAAAGTCACCCTTATTCTTCATGCTACTCCATATTAGATATTTTTGTTTTAACATAAAAACAATATTTTAAAATAATTTGTCACCAAGAAAAAAATTTTCTATGACATTATATCATATGCATCCACTTCTAGAAACTAGGTTAAATTTTATGTCACATGTTAGACTCAGTGTTCTAAGCAATTTTTTTTTGTATCATATTTTGAGAGCCCTGTCTCAAAATATAGATGAAAGAAGTAAAAACTGCATTGTTCTGTTAGCTACAGTAATTTTTAATAAGTAAGACCTGGATGACTTTCCAAGAGGTGACCTGTGCAATGTTTTGGGGGTTCTGCTGGTAGAAACTTCAGTATGTGTATCTCCTTAGTGATAGGTCATGTTGTAAAATCAATCTGATTTAACTCATCAGTCTTTTCTAAAATCAGAGAATAATCTGACAGGTTGCTGCTAACTGTGTTATTTTAACTCCATGTAAAGAAATTACTACCCATTCAATGCTTATGTCCAACTCTCAAGCTTCATTTTCACTGTAGCAAATTTATCATTTACAACAAAAACATATTGGGCTTTTTCTTGATTGTTCATCCTTAGAAAAATAATTGTTAATTATTGATTGGAGGCTTCTCCTTTGTTGCTATACAAAGGATCAAGTGGCATGTCTGAGAAACACTTAAGTGGCTGGGAAAAGAACTGGGAAGTAGAGGAGATAAGCAACTACAGGTGCCCTCCACTCCTTCCTTGCTTTTCCTATCTGTAGCTGCTCCAAAGCATTGAATGATTTGGCAGGTTGCCTCTGTTTATAAGGATGAATCAATGAGGGAACCAGGAGTAAATTATACTGGAAACTACAAACAGGAAATCATGGTGGGATGGTGTAAGATGTACTTTTGTAGTACCATGAGGGAAAAAAAAATCAACTGATTTTGACATCTCTTATCACGTCCTCTGGATAAATCTGGATCACAGAATAAATTCATGTCTGATACCTGCCTTTTAAAATTTTTTTTTTGCTTCAGTTTTTTATATATATTCTCTCAGAATTTTTTCAATTTTCCCACTTACACAATGGTGAGAATCTAGAGACACATTCTTTCAGGTAAGGAATTCTAGTGAATACAGTGGCTGAAGGTATACTGAGGAGTCCATCAGGTCTGTTTCTAAAAGCTAGCTTATCTGACTGGAACTAATCCTACTCCCAGTTCCCCACAAGCAATACCATACTGACAGAAATATATTTTAATAACATTCTTCCATTTTAAACCATCAAGGAGTTTGCAAATTATCTTCAGAAATGTGAGTTTAAAGACTACTAGTGCAGTCACATAATTTACATTCATATTTTAGAATTAAGTATAAAGTAAAGAACTAGGTCAATACCATCTTACAGGTGGTTGGGGAGCTTTTAAATGTATAATTTGCTAAAGGCATTTTTCAGCTGGGTTCTTTATTTTGACCTTAAGCAAATTTAACTGACTCAAATATACAGGGATCTAGTAACTACCCCAGTATGTGCACTTTATCTTCTGTGTAGTTTTATAAACTGAGTTTAATCTTGCTCACTTCATCATGCTTTTTACTACATGTACTACTTCCTTATGTAATCAAAAAACATTCTGGAAATTGTCTTTCAAAATGTGCTGGTTTCAAAATGATGTTTCCAACTGCAGTCAGTTATTGTTCGGGGCTTTTTCATGTCTTCGTATGATTATTTGCATTTTCATAATATTAACAATCACAACTCTCTCTTTCCTTCTCTCTCTCTCTCTCTCTCTCTCTCTCACACACACACACACACACACACACACTTCTTGAGTCACTGGGTGTCATTTGGGTAGGGTTATCACTCCACTTTGCTTTCAGAAGCACCTTAGAGTACCTAGGGACACCCACAACTGCTGATGATTATACATCACTCTGTACTACTCTCATATTAACATACTCTTCTAGTTTCAAATATTTGCTTTGAACTTCATGCTTGAAACTATCGATCCTTTTTTCCAGTTTAAAATATAAACATTTTATAAAAAGAAAATAAAAAATGACAAGGGAAACTAGAAAATTATTTGTGTTAAGGGGGAATGGAGCATCCCTGAAGAACTAATTTGCACAGCTGCAATAACATACCTCAGGTGCAATTATATAAAAAGTTTACTTGTGGGAGTCAGTATTTTGTTTATAATTAAAAGTGTGTGTGGGGGGAAACAAATCAATTAAAGCCAAAAACAGATTAGATAATGACCAGTCAATCATGATAGACCTCCTTGGAATTGCCCAGAAATCACCCATTCTACCTGCTCCAATTTGGCAGGAGGCTCTGGCCAGTGTGCTGTAGACAAAGTGCTCTCATAGCAGGAACATGTTAAATGTCACTGGTTCGCAACAACAAAAAAGTAGCGATATTTTTCATTGTAAAATGTTAATATTTCTCCACTTTCAAAATTCACAGAAAAAGAGGATGTTTTCTGATTTTGCTGACATATGACCAAAATCTTATGTGTGCAAAAAAGGT